GAGTGTGTTAAAGATGTGGATGATTTGTGAAAAGAATTTTTGGAAATTTTCAGATTAAAAAAATACGAAATAAACCACTTCCATTTGACCTAAATTAGCTAATTACCCCGAGAGCAAGTTTTTAATATTTTTGTGCATTTCACTTAAAACCCTGCACCTCTTCCTATGGTTTAGCATCAGTGTTGTCTCTAAGAGCACTGTACACAGCTGGAAAAATAACAAGTGTTTTGACATTTTAGAATTTTTTGTTCTCTACTTTGGAAAAAGTCAGCTTGAGTGAAAAGATGCAGTGTTGACAAGTTTTACTGGGGCTAAAAAAGAAGAAAACTTGTAGTACTGCAAATTACATTTTTCTGCATTTTTGCCAGATTGAAATTTTAGAAAAAAATAACCAGTTCTACTGAGGATCTGATGTAAAAAGCTACAAGCATGTCTTCAAAACAGGGATGCAATGCAGTGAGATTCCATGTCAGAGTAGATGCTTCAGTCTTTATTGGCAGCATTACAGGGTTCTTCAGTGTTTAATACCAAAAAGGTCCAATGTGCAAAGCTGATTTTACTGTTCAAGCCACGGCAACCAACTTCTGAAAATGGAAATTTGTCTAAGATGTAGTGATAAAGGATAGCAACTGGCAAATAATAACATACAGAAAGTTCTAAGGACAGAGAAGTATTTGGGAAGTATTATCAATGATGACTTGTCATTAAAATCAGCCTTGCTGTGAAAGACTCTTTTTATCCCTTTTTGCTATTTTACCAGCTTTGTGGGTTGCAGTGCAAATGTCAGGCATTCTTTCTCTTTGCTTGCAGGGTCAGCCTTTACAACATCTGATAACCTGTCCCTCAGTTCCTGGGTATCCTCCTCAACCAGTTTTCCCGGATTTCAGCATCCGCAGTCTTTGAGTGCCCTGGGTACCAGCACTGCATCCATAGCTACACCCATTCCTCATCCAATCCAAGGATCTCTGCCTCCGTACAGCCGCCTGGGAATGCCTCTGACACCCTCTGCTATAGCCAGCTCCATGCAAGGTAGCGGCCCCACCTTCCCTTCCTTCCACATGCCTAGGTACCACCATTATTTTCAGCAGGGTCCTTATGCAGCTATCCAGGGACTGCGTCACTCCTCTGCAGTGATGACGCCGTTTGTATGACTGATGTAAGACAAGTGAAATGCGAGATCTTAAATGGGCAAGTTTGATATGAAAAATACAAGGGACCTTCCTGAAAGGCCTGTGGCAGGAGTGCTGAACTCGTAACAAACCAGCTAAGAAAACGCATTATGGATATAGATTCCTCCATTGAGGGATCACAAGCAGAGAGCGTGCAGCGTGAAGCTGCTCACAGATCTATGTGTAACACAGCCAGAATGGATCCCAAAGTTCCCAGGATTTTTGGTCACGTGCAGCTTGTTCCAAAGGTGCATTATACCTAGCGGAAAGAAATTATGTTTATGCAGCAGTGTACAAACTAATTGTGTGTAGATCTTTGTTCATACGCTAGAAGAATTCTGAAAAAGGCAATACTCTTATTCATCTTCATCTCTTCTTGTGACTGATGAGCATCTAAACAGAAAAATGTATTGCTACAACTTGGAGCATGTTTTAGGCTATCTCAGCACACATTTGCTGGGAACAGGACAAAGTGGAGAAGGCCACTGTCCTTTTTAAAAGACTGGCTTGTATTCACCGAAAGCAGTATTTCTTAGTTACTACTATAATCCCAAAGAGAAAATTATTGACAAGTCTTTCTTTCTTTGTTTCTTTCACAAAACACCTCTCAGTTCCAAAGAACTGTGTTACAGGACTGTAGCAGTAATGATGTATTCTGTCCTTCAGCCTAAAAAGAAGTTTGTCCTATATCCTAGAAGAAGCAATTTAACTATCTGTTAAGGTATGATGAAGGAAAATGTTGATTTGGGAAAATCTGTTACTTAAACTTAGAAACCCAAGATATCAAATCTTTAAATCAATGCTTGTTTGCTGCTGTGGTTGCCACTGAAAACCTGTTTCTAGCTGCAAATGAGTATCAGATTAACCAAATTTCAGGCTTGATCAGTCCATAGACTCTCTAGATCACACTATAATCAATGGACTGGTATAAGATGAGTGGCACTGGAGTATCCTTCTACTTGTTCTGGTATACTGGGGTTTGGTCATGGCTGGTATTATACAAGCTCTTTGGCCAGAAAAATGAGGGTTGTATTGTTTATTTTTCCATGTCCCAGTAGAATGATGGAGCTGCCTTGGGAAAATATCAGTGCAGAAACTCATACATAATTTTTTTAAATTAATATCTGCCTTTTTTCAGTTAGTAATTATGGTTCTCATTCAAAGTACTGTCCACTTTTTCTGGGATGTTATGTCTGATATAACAGAGGAACTGCAGAAGTATGAGAAAAACTGACCTCTCCGCAGAGAACTAGCATCAATCCTTTGCACTGCTGAACAGAGTACCAGTGCAATGCTGGTCTTCTGTGTGGTGGGAGCTGGGATTTCACTGTAAATAGGAAGTCAACACAGAGTTTTTGTGTAGTGTTGCATCCAAGTTATAGATGATAACACATCTACTGATAAAAATGAACTAGCAATCCAGTCTCATATGTTAAAGATCTGTGTAGAACTGGAACACAGAATGGAAACCAGACTTCTTTGGCACTGTTCTCCTCTACTTTTAACCAGTGTGTGTTGGCATCATATGGTAAGAAGCAGAGCGCAGTACACTGAGTCACATATCTCCCATCTCCATGAAGTGCAAGGCAAGTCGTGTGCCTTTTTTTTTTGTCCCATTGCCTCGTCTTAAATGCCCATTCACACAGAGCAATGACAACCTCCCAGGCTTTTCCCAGTTTCTATTGCAGGCCAGTACTTGCATCCCACAGATAAGGGGCATATTTATGTATTTCCCAGTAGTTGAATTTAAAATCTTGTCAAACTGGCCACTTCAATTACCTCAGTTATCTGCAGTATCATCCTAATTTCCCTTTACTTGCTGCTGGACCTACTGGTAAAAAAATGACCTGAGGCAATTTGCAACTTTTGTGCTCTGTATGTGAACGAGAATGAACGCTTATTTACAGTTTCTGGATTCAGAGCTACTACAAGGAGTTCCATAAATGTATATAACAAGATGAGCTCTGCAGTATTTAAATGGTTTAAAATCAGACACTGAATTTGGCTTGATGTGTCCAAATATTAGATTTTGCTCCAGGCTATAAGGTTCACCTGAACAGTGCATGTTGCAAGGTTGTGCCTATTCATGGCCCATTTTGATATAACCCCCTGTTTTTCAGGAAATTAGATAATACCGGCCCCACAACAAAAAACTCTTCAATTACATACATGATTCCACAGAAATGAGAATTTCAAGGGAGATTTGGAAGAAAATTTTAATCCCTCTCCCTCAGTTCCTTGACTACTGTTAGAGTTGTGTGAAGGTCCTATGACAACATGCACTAAAGTCTGTGGCGAAATTCTGTTTCTTTTACCTGTTTCCCTCTGCAGCTCCATTAACTTCTCTGGAGTTGCAGGGGATATGGTTAGGTTGAGAATTCAATGCTGATACTTCCATCAGGAAATGGTCAAGTAAGCAGGCAGCTTTCACATGGCTCCAGAAATAAGCTTGGAACAAGCAGGCTGCTTTAGGCACGCTTTACAAGACACATAGTGCCTGCTTACACACTGACCTGTGCTTCCTTTGTGAAGTAAATTCAGAGGAATAAACTGTACGGTCTCTTTAGCCTTGCTCCTGTTCCTTTTCAGAAAGCACCAATATTTGGCATGCAGAATGCCCCTGACAGTGTTTCAGAGAAAATTCTCCAGGCTTCTCCTGGAGAATGAAACTGGCTTTTGACAACATCATTTAAAAAAATAGTAAATGAAAGACAAGTGCTTTTACTGTGAATAAAACATAATTCATATCTGAAAAAATATGACAGTAAACTGTCCCTATGAAAACACGATAGGGCCAACTTCTCATCCACATTCTCTGCGATGAGTTTCATATTGTAGATAACACAGAACTATCTGTCAATTATTTCCAGTCAGCTTGATTACTTCTAGTCAGATCCAGTCTCTCTCGGTGTGCTCTTCCCTCCCGGCGCTGCTGTCTGGCATATGCTGCTTTCTGACAGTTTAATTCCTCTGCATCAGAAACCCACTGGGTTCCCCACTCATGCAGAGTCACGGGCAGATCCCAAGCAAGGGTATGAAGGCAGCTTGTGAGAGCCTTCCGCAGGAAGAAGGTCAATAGGTACGGCCAGTTCTCGCCTCCGCTTCTTTGCCCTCACAATCCTACCTCCAAAACCTGTTCTCTGTAGTTGAGGTTGAAGGGACTAAGTTGACAGAGACCACAGGACCAATGAAGAGGTCTTGCCACCTCACAAGGTTTCTTCTCCCTGTCCTTCTCACCTTCCTGGGGGCAGAAGGCAGCATGGGAGTGATTCCAGGGATAAAATTCCTGCCCCACGGAAATCAGCCACAAATGTCTTCATTGTAACGGATATGGGATTTCATTCAACATTCTCACCTAAAAAAAAGTCCACCTGTAAGAACAGCGACCGTAGTGACAGCAACAATACAGGAACTCTACAGAAAAGGCTAAAACCCAACTATAAATCAGCAATAGCATTGATTTCATAATTGGAAGAAAAGGAATGTGAAATCATAATTAATTGGCTAAAGAGTGAAATTGCTCTTCCTAAAAGAAAAAAATTATCTGTACTCCTATGACAATAACTCAGTAATTTATTTCAGGAGTTGCTGTATCGCTGTCAAAATTATATCACTTTCAGGACAGAACATCTGTTGCTGGTAGATGGTCTAGGAACGCCAAATATAATCTAGAGTTTATTTTCCAATATAATTCACATTTTATATCCCATGAGAAGTGCTCTTCACCTTTATGAGCTCTCTTGGCTGAGTGAACTGGTGCTGGTTTATGTTGGTTTTTTTTAAAGAAGGGTGGAGAGAACATGCCTGAATATGCTTTTCAAAGAGAATTATAAGATTACCTTCCCAGTACTTCTAGGTGTTTTCTCGATTACCCTTTTATCCATAGATAGTCAACAGCCTCAGGTCTTTAATCCAACAAAAGCATCCCAAAGACTAACAAAGCCAACTTAGATGCATTCGTCTGAACTTCTTGTTTCTTCTGCTTTTAGAGCCCTGAAAGAAGCTAGACATAAAAAACATTTTATATTTGGCCATTCGGTTTGCAGTATTGCTTTATATGGCCCAAGGCACTGTCAAAGACAGAAATTCAATGCCACTGGGTTTCAGTGGTACTCTTCTAGGTGTAAACTGACAAACAAGCATAGAGCAAGTGGATAAAGGTACAGAGTTTCTAGTGCACATGCTCCTTCAGGAGTTCAGAGACGGTAAGTTGTATGACAGCTAACATATTTGGTAGTATAATCTACAAAATGCAACTGCAAACTTTCTCCCAGAAGGCTTTATCCATGGAGGCCGGGATGCTGCATAAGGATGTACGCATAAGAAGATGTTGCCACTTCCAACAGCCAGCAAACGCTAACCAGCATTTGAAAATGGACCTCTTTTAAACCAAAAACATTTGGGCTGGCAACTTGCTTATGCACTAGATCCTCTTTAGGTGTGTGTACTCTAGGGAAGCAGAAATATCAATGAAAATTGTTGCAAAAACTTGGGGAGCTTTCCAAAACTGTAAGTTAATATAAATTGTGGTAATTTACCCTTAGATAAGGGATAAAAGCGACAGTGAGATCAGTGTAACACTTAGGGCTGCTTATCTGGGAGGGAGATGTGGCCACAGCGCTTACACTTCTCAGCTGCAGAGGGGTGACATTCATTCACTGCAAGATTAATTTTGGTTTCAGTGAGATCTTATTCTCACTATTCCTTACAGAGCATTTTCTGCTGCAGATGTGGTTTCTTTATTAACCACTTACTTGCTGGCCAGAGGATTTATGTATTACTCTGTAATAAACTGTCCTTGCATATAGTCTCTAGTTTATCAAATGACAACTTCTTTTTCTTTATTTTACCTTTTTAAAGAAAACTAAGCAGTGATTTAAGTAAACTCTGAAGTTACTTTCTATGATAGCTTAAGGACAAAAAATACAGTTTGCTGTATTTTACCTTTAGTACATTTAAACAATCTTTTCCTTTTTATTTTT